ATAGATTTCTTGGCATTAATTTTGTATCCTGCTACATTGCCGAATTCATTTATTAAGTCTAATAGTTTTTTGATGGAGTCTTTAGGGTTTTTTATGTACAATATGTTTCTTTTGATCTTTCATATTTTTTCTGACAATGGAATCTGTATATACAGGAATGGTTCATTCATTAAGGTGATCTAAGGTTTCCCTTCTTCAAATATAGTTCTTATACATTGCTATTGTAATTCCTAGTTTTATTGTTAATTTTGTGTGTATTTACAGAACAAGCTCCAGTTCTTGTGAGTGAATGGAAGGGGAACTAGGAGAACTTTTTATAATCCTTTAAAGAAGAACCCTTCTGTGGTAGGTGGAATTCAAAGATGGTTCCCAAGATTCTTATCCTCTGATATACATACCCTGTGAAATAACTTTCCCTTGATTGTAGATGGGCTTTGCAAATATGATTGTAAAGGGATTTTGCAGGTGTTGCTTTGGAGTGAATAAAAATGGAGATTATTATGGGTAGGCCTGACCTAATCAGGTTAGCCTTTAAAAGAGATAGGAAGCAACAGACATGCTCCTGCTGGCCTTGAAGATGGCCACCATGAGTTCAAGAATTGCAAGAAAATGCAGTTTTCCAATACCATGTGATCTTGGAAGAGTACCTAGAGCCTCAGCATCTTGGTCAGCACCTTGATTTCAGCCTAGTGAGATAATGATGAGAGAAACCAGCTAATCTGTGCCCAGATTTCTGACCCATGGAAATAAATGGGTGTTTATTTTAACCTGCTAAATTTGTGGGACTTTGGTCCACAGCAGTAGAAAACTAATACACTTCCTCTTTTATCTTAAAATATAAGATAATATATCCAACTTAATAAATGGATATAAATAAATATATAAGCAAGGAAGCAAACAAACAAGGAAAAAACTCACAGGAATAATTTGAAGTCTTGGTTACCATAACTTTATGTTGAACAACAGCTGACCCTTCTCCAATTAAATATAGATAATAAGAATCTCTGAAAAAAAAACATGTATGTTATTCTGTTTGTCTTTGTGATAATAAAAGTAATACAGGTTTATTTTAGAAAATTTGGAAACCACATCAAGGCACAACAATAATATTTCATATCAGTTTTGTTTCTATGTATATTTTTCATGCACCATGACCTTCCTTGCCTACCACTGATTTGTAGTTCCTAGAATAGTGTCTGGTACATAATAGATGCTAAAATAACATGTACTAGGCATGGAAAAGATAGGATGAATAGTTTTAAAAGTTGGGTTTTTATTTTTACTTAAGGATATTTTATAGTCCTAATTCTTATTACTTTCTCTAGCTCAAACATAGTTAACAAAATTCCTAAAGAAGTAGTTAGCAATGAACTGCATAGTATGCTATGTACAATAGAATACCTAGGAGCAACTCACAAAGTCTGTAGCTTCAGCTTCTTGCTCATTGTGATCTCTTTCCCTTCCATTTTTGGCAAATAGACTTTTATCTGTTATATCTTTTAAAAACCTGTTTCAATGAGCTATAATTCATATTCTTTGAGTCACCCATTGAAAATTATAATTTTGCCCGGCTGACGTGGCTTAGTGGTTGAGCATCCACCCATGGACCAGGAGGTCATACTTCAATTCCTGGACAGGTCATATACCTGGGTTGTGGGCTTGATTCTCAGTAGGGATATGGAGGAGGCAGCCAATCAATGATTCTCATCATAGATGTTTCTATCTCTCTTCCTCTCTCTGAAATTAATAAAAAAATAAAATAGAAAGTTACAATTTCAGTGGCTTTTAGTATATTGATAGTTGTGTAGCCATCATTATAATTTGTTATATTTTTTAATTAAAAGAATATATTTTACTTACTGTTAACGTGGGTAGGCTCTTATTATTTGTGCAAACCCACTATCTTAACTAGAAACTGCTGACTTGTTTGTACTAAAAATTTAGCTTTTTTTATAGCATTAGTATATCTAATATAAGTTGAAATTGTTTTCCTTAAAGTGTATATAGTCCTTATAGTGGAATATTATTAGGCAATAAAAAAGAATGAAGTTTTAATATGTGCTACAACATGGATGAACCTTGAAAACATTGTGCCAAGTGATAGAAGCCAATCACAAAGACCATGTATATAATTCCATTTAATCATATATATGAAATGTCCAGATAGGCAAATCCTCAGAGACAGAAAGTAGATTAGTGGTTGCCAGGAACCATGGAGGGGTAAATGAGGAATGACTGCTAATGGATACAGGGTTTCTTCTGGGGGTGATGAAAATGTTCTTAAATTATGGTGATGACTAGGTGATTGCACAACTTTGTGAATGTATTAAGAAAAACTGAATTGTATAATTAAATAGGTGAATTTTATATATAATATCTCACTACAGCTGTTAAAATATATATGGGTTTCACTAAACCCATAATAACAAGTTTTATTATTTCTAATTGAACACAATAAAAGCTGATGATCCTAACGGACAAATTTTTTTAAAGTTATAGTTATAGCTATATTTAAACATTAACCAAATCACAAAAATGATTTTGTTTATTTCTTATATTTGTTTATTTAAAATTTTTATATTAAATCCCTAGCTGGTTTAGCTCCGTGGATTGAGCGTCAGCCTGCAGACCTAAGGGTCCTGAGTTTGATTCCGGTCAAGGGCACATGCCCGGGTTGGGGGCTCGATCCCCAATGTGGGTCGTGCAGGACACAGCTGATCAATGATTCTCTCTCATCATTGATGTGTCTATGTTTCCCTCTCCCTTCCTCTCTGAAATCAATAAAAAGATATTTAAAAATTTTTTATATTTAAAAATGTGATTGCTGGTGATTTCCATCAAACATTGAAGGCAGAAATAATATGCATTCTACAAAAACTTCCCAAAAGTGGAAGAGAGGGACCTCTTCTCAACTTATTCTATGAGGCCAGCATTACTGTAATACCAAAACCAGAAGATATTACAAAGAAAGAAAACTATTGACCAATATCCCTCAGGAACCTAAGAAACCAATCAATGTACTTTATCATACTAACAAATTAATACAAATAATCACATATCCATTGGCAAGAATATGAAGGAACTGGAATTATAACCATGCTGGTGGGAATGTAAAATGGTACAGCCACTTGGAAATGAGTTTGGCAGTTTCTTTAAAATTTCCATGCACAGCTACCATATGATCTATCCATTCCATCTCCATGGATTTACCAAAGAAAAACACATATGCCTATACAAAAAATTGTACATGAATGTTTAGAGCATCTTGTGTAGTAGCCAAAAAGTTGGAACAACCCAGATACCCATTAACAGATGAATAGATAAATAAATTGGTGTATGTCCCTACCATGGAATACTCATCAATAAAGAGGAATAAACTGTTGATACAACCTGGATGGATCTCAAAATAATTTTGCTGAATGAAAGAAGCCAGCCCAAAATAACACATACTCATGATTACATTTGTACAAATTGTAAGAAATACAAATTAGTCTATATTGACAGAAATCAGATTAGTTGTTGCTTGAGGAAGAGGAGAGTAGAAAGAGGTGGGAAAAAGTGATTATTAAGACACAAGAGAAAACTTTGGGGGTGATAGATATATTCATCATTCTGATTTTGGTGATGTTTTCACATGTATAGGCATATGTTGAGACTTCAAAATTGTTTACTTTATAAATTTTTATTTCTTGATTTTAGAGAGAGAAAGGGAAATAGAGAGAGAGAGAGAGAGAGAGAGAGAGAGAGAGAAAGAGAGAGATTTGTTGTTCCACTTATTTATACATTTATTGGTTGATGCTTGTATGTGCTCTGACCAGGGATTTAACCCATAACTTTGGCATATTGGGACCATGCTCTAACCAACTAAGCTACCTGGTTTGGGCAACAAGTTGTTTACTTTTTTTGTTGTTTTAATCCTCACCGGAGGATATTTTTCCATTGATTATTAATTAATTAATTAATTTATTTATTTATTTAGAGAGAAAGAGAGAGTGGAAGGAAGGAAGAGAGAGACACATGGATTGGTTGCCTCCCACATGCGCCCTGACAGGGCCCTGGATTCAGCCTGCAACCCAGGTAAGTGCCCTTGACCTGAATCAAACCTGGACCCTTCAGTCCGCGGGCTGATGCTCTATCCACTGAGCTAAATCGGCTAGGGCCAAAGTGTGTACTGTAAAGATATACAGTTTATTTTATGTTATTTTCTTCAGTAAAACTGTTTTTAAAAAACTCAATAAGCAAAAAGAAGTGTGATTATCTTCACCATCCTTATTGGCATCTGTAGCAATAATAATCTTACTTAAAAATGATCTATTGACCGCAAGCCAAAGTGATTTTTTCCCTACTTCCTTGAATAATAGCTGAACATATAGAAGAATTAGTAAATTAAGGAACTTTAAACATAGAACTACAGACCTTAAATAATTTTAAACTGGTATATTACATGTGCCAATGATGATATAAATGCAGTAAACTAAGCAAAACTTTCCTAATCCTGAGTGCTTAAAACTAGGGTCCTTACCAGAATACATATGCAAACCCCTCCCCCCATTTATGAAGTTATTTTGAAATATACCAATCTGTTTTCCCATTCAGTCATTTTAAGTATGCCTTCTTGGTTTGGGAGGGTTATAACTTTTTCTCTGATGTGAAGGGAAACCATTCCATAGCTAGATTTCCTACTAGCAAAGAAAAGAATTGTGACAACAAATGAATAATTCAAAAACTATGTTTTACAATGAATGAGTATCAGATTAGTAGGGCTTAATGTGTATGCTTATCTTTGACATTTTTCTTTCTAACATTCTCAATACAAAGTTTAGCATTTTAGTTCTGATTCTACTTCAGGCTAACTTCCTAGGTTACAGAGTTCGTGATTCACCATCCTATCAGTTATCATACTGTGCTAGTAATGATGGTATTGCGGAAACAACCAATCACACAGCCTTTGCAGTGTTCAGTAGATTACAAAGGGGGACTTTCTAATTTCTGAGGCAGGGAATATTTATGAGCATTTTTTACTGGGAGCCCTGAAATATGGTACTTTGAAAACGTAGGTATAAGTAGTCTTGCATTTAGATTTATGATTTCCTATATATTTGAGGGTTATATAAAATAAATTATCCATGTTTAAAATCCAGAAAATATAAAGTTAGAAGATAGTTGATATGACCACATATTTATGAATTTATCAATAGACTTTAATTTGTGATGCAGTTTTGTACCCAAATATAGTCACTAAAAAGTTTGTTCTTAAAGACCAGAAAACTTGGGCCAAGACAGAAGGAAACAATTCCTTACATATTTCTCCAATTACACTTTGTATTCTTTCAGCATAAAA